AACTTGAAATTAATAAAAGTATATTCGTTTGCTTTAGTATTAATAAAAGAAAAAGTTTTAATACCTAATCTATTATTACTAATTATATAAAGAAGTATAAATACTTTATTTTCTAGTAGCTAGCTTAAATTAACTTCTACTATATCTATATAATATAGCCCTAAAAAGGAAACTTCCTTTAGGGGTTTTTATTTCCTTATTTTATATCTTTAAATAGTTTACTTATAATAAATACTATTAGCTTAACTATTAAAACTTGTTTTATATATTTTATTTTGGGCTCTAAATAGTTTCTAGATATATAACTAAATCTATTATAATTATAATACTTGAGATCTGAGGATTCGGGCTTCGGGATAATAGGCTTATCTATTACTAGAGTCTTAGAAGCGGGCTTTATATAAGAGGCGCCTTCTGGGCTTGGCTTATCTATATCTTTATTAGCTTTCTTAGATATCTATTCTTTCTTTTTATAGTAAGTTCGGATCTGCTAGTTATTTATAATATAGTATTATATAAACTCTATAATACGAATAGCCGGGTTATTATAGTATATAGCTATAGCCTTTTAAAGCTTTTAGATAAGCTTGTTATTTAGGTTGTCTTTAAGGTCTTACGGATTAATATTTCCGTCTGCTATATATCTCAGGAATAGAATATAGAACTTCTAAAAGATCTAATTCTTTTTTATAAATAGCTTCTTAAATATTTATAGAGTATTATACTTCTTATTCGGGTCGCTATATAGCTTCTCTAGATAGATATATAGTTCCCTAATAGTCTTATATATATATTAACTATTCTGGTTTAGGTAAAGAGAGATTAGTATAAGGATATAGCTATCTATATAGCCGGATATATAAATAATCTTGAGATTCTTTATCTAATAGATATTAGAGTTACTATAGAGCTTATTTTTGATCTGAACTAACTAATTATTAAAGGTAATACTATTCTTGGTTATATCTTCGAAAATAGAAGGGTTAGGGAGTTTAACTAAGTATTTACTTTTTAAAGTAAAGGAACCGGTTATTCCGGCAGGCTATATAATAAGCTTCTTAATAATGGCTTTATTCTTTTATAGGGCTTGTTTGGTTTCTTTTAGCTAATTATAATAATTCATGCTATAGGCAAGAATATTATATATCTTTAGAATTAGCTCGATAATCTTTTTATATAAAGCCTCTGGGTTCCGAAGTAACTCTTGGAACTCTGCTTTTAATAAGGCAGGTTCCTCTTCTTCCTCTGCTTTTTAGAAGAGAGTATCTCTTCTACTATAAATATTAACGGGATGCTCGGATCCCTTAGGAGACTTAATAAGAGGCTCTGGTCTACCTTCTGGTAGCGTACTAGTAGCGTCTCGTACTATAGCTCCTTCTGACTTGCCCAGTTATTCCGGGACTTGCTTTCTTATAGATCTTCGTTTAGTAGTGAGGTTGCTGGCCTATCCGCTTGCCTGGCCGGTCCAGGGCTTTCTTGCCTAGTCGTTCTAGGGCTTTCTTTTATTCTAATGTTGGTTGACCGGTTCGGGAGTAGCTACGGTGCGTCGCGTCTGTACTCGTCGAAAACCGATCGGGTAGGTATTATTTAAATCCTCCGCAGGATTGAGAAATGGGTGAGCTTTGAATTATGTTACGAGTATAAGATCTAGGGCCTGGAAGGCATAGTTAGACTGTCTCTATTTCGATGATTCAAAGCTAAAGAGAGAAGAGGATCCCGAAGGAGCCTCGGATCTAAATAATCGCGAGCTACGTACGGGCCCACGTGCTAGCTTAAGCTCGGGGTTACGTGCAACGATCAGGTGACTATAGATGCCTCGCTCAGATGCCAGATGCCTCTCTAGCTCTAGTCTAACCCCTACTAGTACCGTATATCGTAATAACCGTAACACTAACTCCCTAATCCTTATTAAAGCTATGCCTTCCAGTTCAGATTCAAGTCCCGAATTTCGTCCCAGAATAGACCTATTAACTACTAGTAGTCAAATGCTATCTAAGCAAGGTTGGGAAGAGTTAAAGCCTACTATTAAATATTTGTACCTGGACCAGAGTCGGACTTTGAAGTAGTTTACTGCTTATATCCAAGAGCATTATAGCGTCAGACTAACGTAAGTAATAAGCTATATTTATTGAGTTAGTAATGGCCGACGGATTTGGCAGGAAGAAACAACTCATATACCGAATATCTGGATAGGGTTTCGAGAAGAATGTGAAGCGTAGTGAGAGGCGAGCTATTATTCAAAGTTTTAGTCAGGAGATGAAAACAGCAAGCTTTGAGATAAAGGCAATTCGTAGCCGGACCTTGGACGAGGCGAAACTGGAAAGATGGATAAAGCTAGAAGGAATGCCGGTCGAGGTTATGGAGGAAAAGGGGGAACTACCTAGTATACCTGGTAAGCAGTACGTTGAGATTATGCCTTGGCGTTCCCCGTTAATGGTCTTTTAAAGTTATTTCAAACTGCCAAATGAAAACCCTTATCGAGCCAACGTTTGCCTTGCATCCTCTAGTAGAGCAGAGCAAGCCGCAATACCCCCCCGAAGCGACAGATCAAATTCCGGCTGTTCCGGCAGGATCCGGTAGTACCTTTGATTAGAAGATAGTGGATGTTATCGGATCTCCTGGATTGGATCGACTTATAGGGGCCTTGACGGCAGAGACGTGCGGCGATATTCCTCTCTTGGACCTTGTAACAGGTGAACTTCAGGGACGAGAGCCATCTAACCAAGACACTTTGAGTTTCTGCTATAAGATCGACAGAGTCAGAGGCGAAGAAGCTGAGCGTTCAGATGAGTCAATGGACGAAGTGTGTTTTCCGCAAGGTACGACTGGTATTTGGCCATTAATATCCGCAAAGACTGCAAATAACAGCCCAGTCGCCAGTCCATCTTGGATTTTCCGCCTAAACTTTGCTCAGAATAAGGTATACCCTTATCTATCACAGACAAAGGCGACTTGGATACCCCTAGACTCAGGATTAATTTTCTCTTTCGCTAGTTCCGTTTTAGTCCCCGGACATGAGCAGCTGCTGCTTTAACCAGAGCTGACGGTGAGCATACCCGAGCCGAGGGTGAACGTACCTGATCAGAGCCTGAGCATAGCCTGAGCACCATAATGTGGAACCTATTTTGGCATTTTGTGCCCCGGCCACAGTTTCCTTACCCAACTTTGCTCGGGAATCCGTTTCTGCCCCCTTACAAAGTTCCTTCTAGAGCAATATTGGTAGTTTCACTTTGAAACTTTTGCTATTTCCCGCCAGTACCTTACTCGTCTTTACTATGTGGGAGGGAAACTGCGACAAGACAAAAACCCACATAAAGTACACCAGAGCGCAAAACGTGACTTGACAGCAAAATAACAAGAATAAGGACACAAGCAGTAAAACAGAAACCGTGTACAATTGCAAAAGCTCAATTGGTTAATATCAAGGATGGTTCGTTATCTAGAACTACAGATTTTATCCAGCAATATTCTTGAGTACTTAGGGTACTCAGGTGAGCTGGCTGAGCGAGGGTGAGTACTGAGCTGAGGGTGAGCCGAGGGTGATTAGCGCCTGAGCAAGAGCGGCAACTTACCAACCGAATGTGAAATAAAGATTGAATGATTAGAGTTCAACTACCATGATGGATAGACCGGCCAACTCTTTGAGACTTATGGTGATATGATAGTTTGGATTTGTGGCGAGGCAGGTTCTGAGGAGCGTGATCTGAAAATGGGCAGGCTGCTGTAGCAGCTCAAAGCTCCAAGGACTCAAATTTACGAATCAAGTCAAGGACAATAGTCAGAACTTACAAGTAGCAACAGTAACCATATTTCGACTGACAAGATTGCTGTATTCTTACTGCTTTTTGCACCACTGGGCGAGATACGTGACTGGCCTCTAGACCAGTGATTTGTTCTCTGACTGATGTCACAATGGATTCCTGAAAGAATACATACGGGACGAGTCAATGCCCAGTCTCCTAGTAAGAGAGTTGCTTTGAATTTGGAATAACAGAGCGAGAAACGGGGCTGATTACTTGACTAGATCTCATGCTACCCCGACTCAGGTGGCGATCAGCTCGGGCTTTGCCTTCTTCTCAGATCTCTAGCATCGATGTTCAATGAAACAGCCCCAAAGCTGTACGTTTATCAAGTCTGTGGACAACAGGAACTAGACAGAGCGCTAGTTCTGGGAGTTCTAAAGCTTATTTCTCTACTAATATTAGGACCTTAATAGGCTAGGGGCACAACTGCGTACGGGACACATCTATATATAAAGTACATCTATATTTAAAGTATATTCTCTAATAATACTAGGAGCTTAGGAGGCCAGGGGTACGGCGTTCGGTGCCTTCGGCGCCTTATAGGAGCGTATATATACCTATACCTTAAGTACGGAAAGCGTATATATATCCTTGAGAATATATTTCCTAAACGATTATAAATAAGGGACAGAGGGACGTACGTCTTGCCCACCTTTTATATATGTACCGGGGGGCTAAAGAATAGCCGAAAAAGAAAGCCTTACTTTACGATAAAATTATAAAAATTAGCCTGCGAAATGCGGGGGAAGGGTACTCGAAGGGAATCTAATTCTCAATTGCATAAGCACCCGTTCTAGGGTTTACCCAGAGAGGGTGCTTATGTATTCTAATCAGAGTTGGCCTCCTGTCATTTCCCCTTTGGGCGTATACCCATGTTTTAGGAATGCTATGCGAGCAAAACAGGGGTGTTGCAGGGGTTGGCAGGGGCACACTGATTTTCTTTCCAAACAAAGATCAAGGATGTTGTGAGAAAAAGTGAGTGGATTACGGTGACCTTGTGGCCTAAAGCTGCATTTCTCGTGCCGAGGCCCAGTCGCGTCTTCGAAATAAAGTAACCCCGAACTCCGTATCAACGTGGTGTCCTTCGTCATCAACACTTCTCATCCTCCTCAAAAGCTGATAGACAATCTATTGCTACTTCTCTAATTAACCCTCGACACTTCTAAAAGACGTTCACAAGTCTAGCAGCGAACAAAAATGGGGCCGGCAAAGGTACTCTTCGTGATGGCCGATTATGGACATGATCCAACAGGTAATTTCACTTCAGATCCCTCTTGGATTCTTATAATTAATCTTAACATACACTTATGGGTGCGGTAGAAACTGCTGTCCCATACGCAGCGTTTAAGCTAGCAGGATTCGAGGTTCAATTCGCGACAGAGAATGGAAAGGCACCAGAGTGTGATAAGAAGATGCTCCGAGGTATCACACAAAAGCTACTTGTGAGCAGCACATCACCCCGAGCCTGTCATGTCTATCACTCCATTTGCACCTGCTAACAATTGACTATCTTCCAGGGGGCAACCAAGCCTGCCGTCAATGCCTACGATGAGATGTCCAAAACCACCGAATTCCTCCAACCGGTATCCTGGTCCTCCCCGGATTTCTCCCTCGACTCTTATAACTTAGTATTCCTTCCCGGCGGACACGAAAAGGGGGTTCGGCAAGTCATCGACTCTCCTATAATCCACAAACAGCTCGCACAATACTTCCCTGCAACCAGGAAGCCCAGCAAGAAGGCGGTTGCGGCTATCTGCCATGGAGTGATGGTTCTCTCGGAGACACTAGACGCTGACGGGAAGAGCATAATACATGAATGTGACACGACTGCTCTACCTGCACGCTTTGAACAAGTTGCATTTTGGGGAACAAGAGCATTTTTAGGGGATTATTACAAGACCTATGGGGTAGGAAGTGATGATGTTGAGGTGTCGGTAAGACTTGCCTGACCATCGTCTAGATAATGCTGATGCCGTGCACAGGTTAGGAAACGACTAGACAATCCCGCGAAGCAATACAAAAATAGTCTATCACCAAGCCCGTGAGTAGTGCTGTTCAAATGACAATATGGTTCAAGATTGACGATTTCTAGGTTCGTCGTACAGGAAGAGAAATTCAACTACCTCAGCGGCAGATTCCCTAATGATGCTCAGCTACTGGCAGAAAAGACGATTGCTTTAGTTCAAAGCATATTATCATAATTTAGCATTTGCGATTTTTCCAATTCCCACCAATATCAGATCCCATTTCTTTGACATTACTTCCCACAGCGGGGTTGGCGAAGCTTAAATGGTCGCACCATAGACAAAGAAACCCAGCCTGTTTGCATTCGCACCAAAGCAAACATACAAACAAAGATCGTGAATGATGAAGGAATTCCGAGAACAAAGCTATTGACACTTCGACTGAACAGGCGATAGGTCTCCACCCAGAGAAATACCTGCTCACCGAGAACTTCTATGCGCAAGAAAGACGTCTTCTGACAGAGAGGCATGGCAATGGTTCCTGGGCTTAAATCCTGGGCCGTGAAATATGGCGCCCTGGCCAACGGCAGGTTTGGCAGCAACAAGAGCGGTTTTACACCCATAGATTACGTCTTTCCAACGCTTGGTTCAACTCCGGATCCAAATGTTATGGCGATCGAGAATTTTCAGCGCGAGAATTTATTTGCCTTTACGAGCAGAGAGTTAGGCCAATTGGATTGCCTGCCAACGAGGGAGTTAATGCCAGGGAACTTGCAAAATGATATCATGCCACTGTTGCAGCTCGAGAACTGGGAAACAGCACCGGCACAGCCTGATTTTACGAGGGATCACTTATACCCGCTGCAGAACGGCAAGGGCATGTGGTCTGCGGATAACGATGAAGTGTGGAGTGTTGTGGAGCCGATCGTAAAACTGGCGTCTAGGATGCTTATGTCGGTTCATGTGATGCCTTGGGTATGACTCCTTCGTCTATTAAAACCCAACACTAACTGATAAAACTAGTTTGACGCCTTGCTAAACGGAGAACGAAGACCTATTCCGGATCACAGACTACATCCGGCGGATAAAAAAGAAGAGGACCTTCAATCTTTCCATGTGCGCGGATTCGTTCAGGCAGGACTGGGACAGCAGAGAGATTACGTATTCAAGATACTACGCACAAAATTTCGGTTAAAATATGGATTCATGATTGTATCCGAAAGCCCCGAAGGGCCGGAAAAGGACCCAGAGGACGCGCTTGGGATAACTGTCACAAACGCTGATTACATGCAACATGATCCCGAATCCAAGAAAAGCTGGCGCATATGTGTTTTTATCAACCTATTCCAGCTCGAACTTCTCATGCGGGATGATCTGAACACTGCAGAGCGGATGACAATACAATGGGCAGTTGCTGATACAGTAAGTGCCATACTGCTTGTTCCCCCTCAGACCACAATTAAAAGAGAGCAGATTGTGCATGAGACTATGCATGCCGTTGCGGCATTCCTAGCCACGGAGAACAAACTGGATTTTGGAGAACCATACTTCGAAGATGATGCTTTAGCTGAGGTTGGGTTTAGCTTCGAATCAATCGTAAGATTCCAGACCCCCTTTATATAGTTGATTTTGTTGACTTACGGTATCAGATCAATTCTGGGATACCCCAAGAATTCCTATACGACTCTGCTGCTCCCAACCCGCCACTGGGACATTTTCTTAGAAGATACTGGCCCACATACTACGATGTCTTTGCCCGTGACCTCGATAATCCAATCCTCACCGCGCCAGATCCACACACGCACAACGAATACTTTCCTATACCAATATCGTTCTATGGGGATATCCAGCAGGAAGGCTTTTGGTCGGTGCTTGTTCGACAATTCGGGAATAACGTCTTTCATTATCGTGCTCTGAAGGAGGGGTCCCGCGTCAACTACACAGTAACCCATATCGCCCAAGGGAAATACAAAATCAGTGACCCCGTGAGGTTCACAGAGGGAGATCCCCTCAAGATTGTGAATGGACAATTCAAATACAGCGTTAAGGGCCTTCGAGCAGCCATTAATTTGACCCCCGAGGAGCGAGACGCACTGAAGTTTGGCCAAAGGTTGGTAACTAGCTCTGAACTCCAAGAAACATTCTGGACCGATGCCGTTGAACAACAAGCCAGTATTCAAAACATCACTCATCTAACTGCATCCGCTTCCCAAGCCGTTAGTACTCCTGATCATGTCCGCCAAGTCTATCTGGCCATTTTCAATTCCACACAACAAGCAATCACGAGCCACGAACGCATGATTGCTGGAATTATGAGCCAAGAGGCAACAAATGATGCAATATTCTTGGATCGCAGAAAAAGCCTTCTGGCATGGAATAAAGGGACCCGTTCATTCATCCGCCAACTGATTCGAGCCGATGCCCAGAACAGTCTTAGTCTTGGAGCAGAAGAGCTCAGAATGGAGCAGTGCCGTATGGCACTCTGGAACCCCAACGACGAAAACACGAGATCTGGAAATGACTGGCTCGAAATCACAATCCTGCAGAATGCGCGCCAAGCTTTGAGGGATAATCACCTTGATCAATGTAAACATCTATGCACCCATTTGCTTGGGGAAGATTGGAGATCGGTGTTTGCTGAATGCGCAGCGCGGACGATCCTCTTTGCAGTCAGCAAAGACGTACGTGAAGGGTGGGCAGACCGATTCATGGACCTGCAGAAGATAACGAGTATACTGGAGAGCCTGAGGGCCGGTGCTCCGGCGTACTGGAAGAATGAGGTGGTGGCTTTTGCACACAGAGGTTCAGAGGTTGCTTACGACGCGAGACCCTGCTACTCCGATGCATATTTCTCCCGAGCAGGGGGCGATCGTAAGTCGGAATCCGCAGGAGGATACGAAAGTGGCCTCGCCGATTCCATATCCACCAACAAGTCCTGTAGATGCGGGGAAAATGGAAGAATAGGGGTATGTCAATATTCGAGCCTCGGAGTTTCACGAAAGAGAAGATTTGGTTTATCCGAAATGGAGTGATATGAAACGAACGGTACTTACGAATTACCCTCTCACTGTGTTTACAGCCTTCTTCTCTAAAGTGAGGCCGAAGAACACTTGTCTTGCACACCCGGTCCAGGTGTTGAGAGCGTACTTTCCAGTTACGTTATATCATTTTCCAGGTCAAATCCCTCGGCGTCTCACGCAAAGCAAAGTCATTTGTGGACTATACTGCCATTTGTCTTCTCTATGACTACTAAGGGCGCAAATTGGCCAAGAGGAGAAGGTGAGAACTGCGGAGGTTGTGTTTATGCGAAATTACGAGTAGTCCTACGGTTCAAGCAAGGCCAAGTGTCTCGGTGGATTCATATCCCCATTAACTCCTACCAACCCCTCCCCAAACATAGCATTAGACATTCTGGTGGATTGACGGACTAGCAGTCCTTCAATTTCCACCTCTACCGAATCTTTTCTTGACTCTCTTGCCAGTACCCGTTTCGGCAGCAGGAAGAGCATTGTCGATGAAGAGAAAGAATTCGGCTGAGCGGCGCCCAGATGACCACGCCCACCTCGTTTATCGCCCTTCCAACTGTACTGGTCCAGTCCTCTCAGCTCATGCTTCTTCTCACGCTGCTCCCTCTAATTCCAATCTCTTTCGATTCCGATGGCGATCCTCAACCACCTTCTCCCGTCTCAACGAAGATCCCGAGTCCCGAATGACTCTACATTGCTGCGGGACAAATAGGCAGTTTAAAAAAGGAGGTGGTAGATCTTCTATCAAATTTCTAGCCGATGTTAAAGTAGGAAATACCATTGGCTGGTGAGCATATTACTTGCCAAGTTGAAGGCTCTCGAGGAGCAATCACTTTGTTGTATCCTTGGGGGGCTTCTCGAACTCGGCAGCTGCCTTCTTGGCAGTTTCCTTTGTTTCTCCATACGCGTTCGCGATGCCGTTCTTCTCGTAGTCGTAATGCCAATATCCCTTGTATATGGCATCGTTGCCCATCAATACCTTTTGTTCTGTTTGAGAGCACTGTGGCTATCTGAAAACCATTGTATGGAGAATCACTTAATCAAGGCAAGGGGGGAAATATGTTCGATGCCTCTCAAGTGGCGTAATACAGCAGCGTAGAACGGAAATCCAGGCTTGAGCAATCATCAGGTTATTGCGGTTGTGTTGTAAAGTTCGTGATGGGGAAAAGAATCACGGTTAGTTGACAAGCGGTGCCCAGATATTCATAACAATTCCGGGTGCTGAAGCTCAACACGAATGTGAATCTACCTTCAAAGTCTAGTGAATCCAGGAACTGTACATATATATCATTGAATTCTTCCCAACCACCTACCACCCTCTACTGCAGCCCCACTACTTGAGGGCAGCAGTTGCAATCACCGAGAACTAGCTTCTTATGCAAGTTCTTCTGCTTTGAGGCTTGTGGAAAGTGCTCATCATGGCTTCTTAATGCATAAACTCTCCGCTTCACCAGCAAACAATGTCAGTCAGAAGAGAAACATTGCGTGATCGCATGGAGAAGTCACCAGAAACACGGGCAAAAGGGGACACCAGCAGGCTCGGCAAAAATACCTGAGGTATTGATAAGGAATCGATAGTTACTGGTATTAATAAGGTATTAGTAAGTATCGATATGTATCGATTCCTATCGATTCCTTACCGCTTTCTACCCCGCATCCTCTAATTTTTCACTCTCTCTATTCTTACATCTTTTATTCTTATTCTATTTGGATTATATACTCAAAATATCTTCTTCGCATAAGCTAGACTCTTCCTCTCTAGCTTCTGCTTTTATAGATCTAGAACTAGAAGCCCCTTCCAGCCGAAAATTGAGGGCCCCGGTCTGGAAGTATATATATAATCCTACTGAGAAGGAGAACCAAGCCCACTTCTATTATATCTATTATAATAAGAAAATAAGAAAGCTATATTATACTTCTCTTTTAGAGAATATAAAGAAGTATATATAAGATATTTATAAGATCCCTGTTAAGATAGCTATTAGTAAGAACTAAGTAATAATTAATTTATAATTAAGGCAATATTACTACTAAGCTACCGGAACGAGCGAGTAAGAGAAGCTTAATACTGAGATCCTGGAAGCTTATCTTAATATCTCGGTTATTCTTAAAGCTCTAATTACTCTTATTATTATACGGAATCTGTTCTATACTCTTATTAAATAGCTAGAGTTCTATATACTTTGCTAAGTACTTAATCGAGCTATTAAAAACAAGATTATAACTTCGTATTCAGGAATTGCTAGCTTAGTTAAAGACGCTTGGAAAAGGCACCAGAATACCGTATAATAAGTAGTTTAGGCTATACTCTTACTTATTTATATCTCTCTAGATATCTGGACCTCTCTAAATCAATTACTTTTACTTGTAATCTATAGCTATTTTACTATATATAATAGAAAGTAATAAAAGGCTCTTCTCACTTTAAAGTAGGTCTCTAGCTATAGCTTAGAAGCTCAAATATTAATTCTTTAGCTAGTTCTTTAAGATTATGGTATTACTTATAAGCTTGGAGCTATTATATATAATAATGCCTCGATAAATAATATTCTTTATTAATTAGTTTAAAAGAAGCTAAAAGATAAGCTAAGCTTAAATTAGAAGGCAGATTACTAGTATATTCGCTATCTGGGCTATATTATTAATCTAGTTATATAAGCCTTCTTATTTACAAATTAGGTTAGCTTAAAGAATCTTGATTTATATAATAAGCAGGAGCGGTATACTAAAGTCTTTAATATAATAGAGGTAATAAAGGCCTAGTTTAGGCTAATAGAACCCTTTAGCCAAGTATATAATATTATAGTTTATATTTATAGGTTAGCTAGAAGAATAGAGAAGTTTTGTATACTTGCGAAAAGGCTAATTCTAATAGATAATTATATGAGATAAAATAGCTAGTATAAGATGCTTTATATACTACTTAACTTAAGGCCGGTAGTAGAAAGATATTATTAAAACTATAAAAAGAAGCTTAAGAAGGATATCTTAACTTTTAAAGATTAGAAAAAGCTTTATATAATTAAGGACTTCCTTATACCCTTTATACGAGCTACTTTTATAGCTAAGGGCTCAACTTCCCTTAATTCTACCCTTTTTATAATAGATATCTTAATTAAATACCTCTAATAAGAGAATATAAGTTATTCTTTTCTTTTATATAATCTTATATAACTATACTAATTCTAATAGGCTAAATATTAGAAGAGTAAGGATCCAGAGGAGAGAGACTTCCTTTATTAAATCGAGGCAGTATATAAGGTTCTGGATAATTATTATATAAGAACTAATATATTTCTAGTTTATACTACTATATTAATCTTAAATTCTTATAATTATACGAGATATATTAAGATATATTAGCTAAAGAAATAGTTAAAGCCAGTTTTAGCTAAAATTAAAAAGCTCTGGGAGAAATATCGGGAAAGGCCTATTATTATACCTATACTACTAGCTTTTCGGTATAAAGGCTCGTTTTATAAGATACTAGAACTAGATATATATAATTATATTACCTTATCTTTTAGAGCAGAAGCTTGTTCTATAAGTTAAGACGAGTTTGAGGACTATAATTTACTAGAATTATATAATTCTAGTAAATAGAGGGCCCTTATATAGTAATATTAGGATATATAGAGGTAATACTGGCCAAGGCTCTCTCTTATAGCTATTAATATCCTCTTTATTTCACTAATAAGTAATAAGCCAGAGAGAGTATTTTCAGGAGGATATTATATAGTAAGCTGGGATAGGGTATAAATAGAAGCAGAGATAATTAAGATATAAGAGTACTTAAAGTACTAGAAAAGAAGTAAAATTCTAAATACTTTTCTTGAGACTAAGGGAGTAATCTGAGAAAGAAGGGAGATTCTATACTTTTTATATAATATTTTAGGGCCAGATTAGAATCTTTTCTCTTAGTTTTTAGGTACTATATAAAAGTAATTGTAATTATAAGTAAAATTAAAAGAGGATAAATATTAAGAGCTTAATATAGTCTATTAAATATTATATAAAAGCCAGGCAATTATATAATATAAAGAGAGTAAGTAGCCCTATCTAGAATCTATAAACTTACTAGCCAGAATAAGCTCTAGGCTTTAAAACCCGTCTACTTTATATAATTTTAGGAGATTTAGGCTTTTCTCTAGAACCTCTCTCTCCTCTATTATTATTAATATCTTATATAATATATTGGGTCGTATAATTATAACGAATATAATTACTATATATTCTATACTATTCTCTATCAGGAATTCTTAAATACTTTATAAATATACCTTAATTTTTACTACAAGTAGTATAAGAAGTCTGGGTATTAACTTTACTACTATATTACTTAGTATAGATTATATGAACTTAGGAGAAGTAACTTATACTTACTGGATTAAGATTACATTAATAACCTCAGGAAGAAGTGGGGTATTAAAGGTACCAGAAGTATAGGGACCCTTAATTGTAATATCTGAGGGTTCTGGATTATTAATATTAAAGGTATGTTTTTGCTAAGGGCTACTATTAATAACTAAGGGCTAGAGCTCATTCCCTTCTATATAAAGGAAGTACTGAGCCTCAGTATTATTGGAGGGGTCTATACAAGTCCAGATAACGAGATCTTGTTGAGCTTGGGCTGCTATTGTATATATATATATATGAAGTAGTATATATGAAGTATTGTATGTGAGGTGTGTATATGGAGTGTGTGAGGAGAGAGAGAGAGTATGTGTATATGTAAGGAAGTTGGAGGGAGGGCTAAGAGCTAAGAGCCTATTATATAGATATCTAGGGCTAAAAATGACTTAAATAGGAGCCTGAATAATTCAGATTAAGCTGTGAATCAAGCTATGAATTATATAGTTATTTGGTATAGTTCAGACGATACGGGGAAAATAATTGGCTAGAGCCTTAGAAATAGGGCTATAAAGCTGTGAATCATATAGTTATTTACTATAGTTCAGATAATGGAATTAAAATAATTAGCTAGGGTATTAGAATTAGTTATATTAAGCTGTGAATCATATAATTATTTAGTAAATCAGATGGTGGGGTCAAAATAATTAGGTAGGGCCTTAGAAATAGGGCAAATACTGACTAAGTATCGATAGAACTATCGATACTATCGATACCTTACGATTCTGGCATCGATTCCTATCGATACCGGAATTTAAGGAATTTTTGCCGAGCCTGGACACCAGAACCGAGAAAATGTCTGCCATTGCATTCTCGTCCATAAACTACTCTAGTATCATTGGTTCTGCTACTCTAAGGTACGACAATTGAGTCATGAAAACGGAAACGACGGCGACCTAGAAAAAATCGCCCTCGCCCTCGCCCTCGCCCTCACCCTCACCCTCGCCCCAGATATCCCCGTGAATTTCCGTCATATGCCCATAGCACTCCCCTGACAACTTAAAGGTCTCCATACAGAACCAACAAATGTGAGCGCTACACCGTGTGCACTCCATATGATTACACCCCTCGGTCTTCTCAATTCCCATTTTGCAGTTTGGACAGTCTCTCACGCCGTGTTCTTCCTTATACTGTCGAAAGGCTCTGTTATCCTCTGAATCCATTTCCGTCCATTCCTCACAATTCATTCCCTCATGACTGATGACATTGCATGTTGTGCATATTGGGGTCAGGCATGTCGCGCAGTAGAATGTCTCGCCGGTTGTGGTTGGACGGTAGATCTGGGCACAATCCGGTGTTGGGCAATATTGGAACTCTTCGGGTCGAGTGCGGATATGGGAGTCAAAACAAGTCCGAAGGAGAGATTCGAAGGACGGTGAGGACAACATTGACTCCAGATCAGCAATACTGAAAACCTGTTTGCATGCACCTTCTGAGCCAATGCACCGCAGAGGGATTTCGGCATCAGTTGCTGAAGAGGCTTGGTTGGCGAAGCATTCCCTGCAGTAGATATGCCCACATGTTGTGTGGACTGGCTCTACTGCTTCTGTCCAGCAGATAACACAGCTGTCAGTAGTTTGGGACGACATCTCGGGTCCTTCGCCCAACGGAATGTCAGTGAGAAGCGCTCGAGCTTGGCGCAAGTCGTCCTTAGAACCAGTGATTGTGATAGTACTTGAATGAAAACCCACTTTAAGTCTCACAGATTCTCCGAACGTTGACTTCAGCCTTTCCATTCCACCTTGCATTACTTGCTTGAGCAGGAGTGGTGTCAGAACAATGGTGTGCTCCTGCTCGTGCAGTGCTTCAACCTTCTCAACCAACGCTTGTTGAACTTCCTTCCGGGCATCAACAGACCCGCCGTACATGATTAACTGAGATTTGCAGGTATCTCTGAGGATGTACATTTGATGTGTGGTTCCGAGTGCCGCAAGGTCAACAAGTGCAGCAGATTTGAGGAAATAGATGTCCCACAGTGGCTCTTCGCCCTTCATGACCAGAACTCCTGCTAATAGCTTCTCTAGTCGGACCTTGGCCCCTGGAACGTTCTTCAAGTTCTCCCAGTAAAGACGCGCTGTTGTGAAAGATTTCGAAGGATCTTCTTGGTAGATCTTTAATTGAACATGACCACTTCGCCAGAAATCTTTTGCAAGCTGGTCCAACTCCACTTTCAGTGCTCTGGTGATAAGAGTTGGGATATTGTACTTGACAGAGACAATGTGGTTGGCGAAGATTTTCGTACTAGCCAAAGCTTTGACGCTTGTGTTGTGCAGGTCTCTGACAGCTTGGGCAGCGGAGTCTCTGTCCAAGAATGCGGCGGTTGCTTTGACCTTGCCGCTTCCCGACACCAAGTGATACTGAAACGAGTCCAGCTCTCCTTTGGTCTCCAACAAGCCTCGAACCCTTTGTGCCGCTTCTGCATCCGAGTACTTGTAAGTTGGGTCACCCAGGGTGATCTTATCAGGGCTAACGTTCCCAAATAACTTCCACCGGATATCCCTCAGAGTTGTTTGTCCAGCTAAGTTGCCAAGGCAAAGTGTGCAAGATGTCTTTTCCCCATCAGCATACGTAAACTCTTGGTAATTGACACTTGGGATGCGGTCGAGAATTTTGATTTCTCCCAATATACCAATGGCGCGCGTGGCATTTGTTTCTTCGCTATAGGTAAGCCAGGCAAGCCGAGAAGGTTGATACCAGGTGCAAGTGACAGTGCTGAGCTGTACCCGCTTCTCCGTCGTGTCACTTTCTGTAGTACTAGTCGTTTCTTTGATGGAAATCCTCCTTGGCCCAGCTAGTTGCTCCCACCGTCGGACAACAACTCTCGCAAAAGACTGATCCTCAACCCGGACTTCGGCAATCGACCCATATGTTCCAGAAGGTTTGAACGTGACAGCGGATTCATCGATCTCCTGACCCAAGTCTAACAATATTTTGCTGACGGTACTTGGCTTCACGTCGGCTGCGAGACCCGTGATTTCGATGCTCGAGAAATCCGACGCAAGTTTGATATTTGATACTTCCGCTCCGGCTCCGTAGTCGACTATGGCGCCGTTTATTTCGCGAGAACAGGCATTGGCTGTTGGTAGATTCGGGATGGATTTAGTTATCACCTAGAAATATTAGTACAAGTGTCAAAGCATCTGGTTCGTCTAGGTACTCACCTCTTGCTGTTGATTGTCCTCCTTTCCTCCTGGAATGCCATCCACGGCGCCTAACTTCTCATGAAGGAAATTGCATTCCTTTCCATTTTGGCAGCAACCTCTGGCAAAGAAGATGCAAGGAAACCGGCTGCGGGTTCTTTCCTCTCCAGTGGCTTGAGCATGCCATGAAGGAGTATCGCCTTGCAGAGTGTTCGTTTGGCTGATGGTTTTGGTGGATAGTACTCTCACTTCCGTTTCTACATCATTAGTTGGAGAGTATGTAGTGGTGGTCAAGATCTGATGGAAAGGAAGTCCACTATGTGGCCGAATATCGTGGGAATTCTTGCAGGTGGTCCCATATCTACACTTTCCCTGGGTAAAGAACCAACATGGTGTCTTCGATGGGACCGAACTATTCATCGTGGATACTTGTGGACTGTTTTGACTCACGTTCTGACGAGATTCGGAGTTTGGCAGAATAGTATAATCGGGCGGTGCATAGATGTGGGAGTTTCTGCATGACGTTCCGTAGAAGCACTTCCCCTCTGCGAAGAATCGGCATGGAGCCATGACGAGATCGTTTTTCTTCAAAACATTGCAAAAGTGGATAGTCGTGATAGAAGCTCGAGGCGGGGTGGTCGGTGTTGAATGCAGCGCGAATTTTCGGAAGGAGAACGAAAAGAAATATTCAAGCATGGACTGGAACACTCCGCCAAACAAATTTAGAACCGCGGTGACTAAATTTGCCTTAATTCTTTAAGCGTACAAATTCAAGTTCTTCAAATTTCAGTAAAATTGATTCAAATCCTAAATATTCTATAATCATATCCGTGCATCATGAAGGTTAGTACTAGTTACTAAATTCTGCTATTTAAAACAATTCAATTTGTGAAATGATCTATTGCGCGAACGGCTTTGGATCTGTTGAACTAGCTAAAGCAATATAGTTAGGGTCACGTGCTTGCAATATAAACCAAGTAAAACGTACTGAATTGACTGCTGTTCTACAGTGATAAGTAGCCCGTATATATAGCCCTGAACCCCCTAAGTCACATGCACTAAACCCCTAAACCAGAGAGCCTTATACTGAACCATTCAACCTCAGCTGAACCGATTTAGCCTCACAGGGCATAATCTACTCAGTAATAAGCCTATGGCTTAAGCCCCATTAGTACACAGCCCCTAAGGCTCTGTTCCAGGGCTTACTAAGCCTATTAGGGGCCTCAGGCCCCTAATTTCAACAGGATCGGCCATGGATCAGGCGCAGGTGACTCATCGTAAAATTTATTCAAATAAGATGCAACCTGCATGTGAACAAAGTAATGAAATTTTGATGCGCGCGTTATCTAACTTCTCTATTGGCTAAGGCCGGTATCCTTCCACATTATTTTCACTTCGTACCAACGCGATCTACAACTTCTAGTGAGGGATTACAGTGTACTTGTATCGAAGGGGTTACGGGGCAGGGTTCATTCAAGTGCTGGGTGCTCGAGTGGCAGCCCAGATCGCCTGTTGCAGCGGATCAGAGGAATTTCAAAAGTATTTTTTAGAAGAGAGCTTCATTCCCCATGTCCACAGTAAGAGAGCAATTGTTCATCCTATTAAGAAGCCCAACCGTCGTGTCCTTAATCTTCTAGCTTCCAAAAATCAACCTGGCAGGACAGCCTCCCTTCGTTGTGACCGATATTTCCACTCACCATCCCTCCCTCCCCACGGATAACTTCTGACAACGTGCTTCGCATTCATCTGATACTCCTTGGAGTTTCTGTCCGGTGTATTAGAAACTAGCTAACGAAGGGGGCCTTGCAACTTACGCCGATTGTTCGTTGTCATAGGTAACCTTTCAGAATTCTACTGGAATGTCGTTGACTTCAGGCTGGCGCTAGTGAATATTGGAATCGCAATAAATCCAAACCGATTTTGGGTCGTCGCTATTAAAGTCTGAGGGGCAATGGGTGAAATCCTGGTTGTAACTAAAGTGTCTGGAAAGCTACGATACGGCAAAGTCGTCAGCAACTTGTTGTGCCCTTTTACCTGGCAAGCCGGGGACATTGACAGTGATATAACGGATAGCGATACGAAGTTCCCCCGCCATCCGAGGTGAATTTCCATTGCCATGGTCTAAATTTGTGAGGAGCTGGGGGTGAAATGTATGGATGGACAAAAAAGCCACTGTACTGTAGGCGAGAGAATGGCTGATTCTGATTATGCTAAATTCGGCAACAGCGAACAACAACCCCCGAGGGAAGGGACGCACACAAATACGGTAGCCCAGCCGACCCCACAGCAGCGGTTGCGTCCGTGTCAGCCCCCTGAATGCCACTCGCTAAATTATTTTGGCCCCTGGAGACGAGAACTCGTGCGATGCATATGCTAGCAGATCTGACTTATCCGAGTTCTCTCTCTTTTGATCAAAAATTTAAGCGATAGTAAGTGTTACAATGGGCGGTCCTAATATCACCAGATTTCCAGCCTCAAGAAGAATTCGTAACCTTCAGCCCACTTACAGAGTGTTCGTCACCAGCCGCCCAAGTCAATGAGGAAATCCACTCTGCGCTTCTGCTGTTATTCGATCGAGGGAACCCCTAGATGGTTCCCTTCTGGCCGGCGGACTTTGTTGAGTATGTCCGCATTGCGGGTTTCTCTTTAAGAGTCGGAGAAGAATTCATTTTAAGGTCTAAGGATCGAATTCGGCTTTCCCCTTTCTTCAGGATCGCTTAAGCAAGCGAGCTCGAGCCGCTCTCGTGCTTCCAGAGCCCACACATTGGGGACAACAGAGGAACTTAAAGTTTAGAGTTATCATATATCTCAGACTGCTCTTGCAGAAATCCCTTGGGGGTGAGAAAGTAATCCAGAAATAGGAGCGGCACGGCGAAAATCGGCATTTTCGCCCCTGATCTGTAATATCATATTGTGAGCTGAGGGTATATCCAATCAAGGCGTTGCATTTACACTCTCTAGTACATTATACAGCGCAACAGGCGGTAAGGGGTATCACAAGTAAAAAGAATTTGATCTCTCTCCCAAATACAGCAGTAGAATCACCGATTCCAAAACACTTTTTGCCTTCCCCATGTTTTCTCCACCTCTCCCACGACGTGTTCAAATTACCTCGTAAGGGCCCACAGCGTCTCCACATCGAGATAGCACGAGAGCTGGTCTGGCACATTGTCTCGCGCTGTATGCCGCGGAGACGGGAATCTGGGTTGAACCTTTGATTCGACAGACGGGGCAGCATTCGCGTTCTTGCTCCCCGTCAGCAGGAGGGCGCGGCCTACCACCTCGTAGTACTTGGAACCGTTCGCACACGTGCTGCCACTGGTGCCATCACATGTGGATTCTGCAGCGGGGGGCTCGGTGGATCGAATGACGGCGGCGACGTCGCAGTCCATGAATTGCACAATGATGTCACCCTTGCGGGAGTTGGGCGGGCCAATGCCGACAAGAGGGGGTTGGGGATCGGATGGGTGGAGGTTGCTTTTGCGACTTCTGGGTACGTAGGTGATGATGGAAGGTACAGGCAGCCTCACGCCCGGAATCTCGTGAAGTAAGGGCATGGTCCTTTCGGCTATGCTATCGGTATCGTTCTTCGAATCCTGCTGGAAAGGAAGCTTCTGTCCTGAGTTTAAGCCATGAACACGGGACCGAGGCCTAGTACTTCGGCGTGTAGGCTTGGAAATGCGGGACCCTTTGGGTCGTCGTTCTCTCCTATAAATTGAATGCGCCTTATGCCCAGCTGAAGGAGGCCGATGGTCATTGTGGCATTTGCAGCAGATGTACGACGTCTTGTTGGGTATGTCGACGGCTTTCTCCAAGTCAATGTCAGTGAGCTCAGGAAAGCGAGAGAGGAGCGTTTCGGTAGCCGTTAACGGCTGACGCAAAGTTGTGGCAGGGCTAGATGAGACCGAACTATGCGGAGAAGCAGAGGACACAGGAGCGGGACTGGAGAGAATATCACTGAGCTGAGCTGTCCCTGCCTCCGCATCGCTCTCGAACTCAACCGCGTCCAATTCCGCTGACGGCCACGGGACCGCATGGGGATCATCAAATTCGCTCAGAAGATGATTATCGCCACTGTGATGCGGACTTTCAGGCTTCAGATATGCGCCTGGCAGGCCAAACGTTGATGTATCTATCGCAGGTATACTTGCACCAGCTGTGTCAGATGGAAGACTTGTAAGCGGTTCGGGAAGTGGGTCAACAAGCGGACGTTCGGTTTCAACAATCTTTCCTGCATAGACTCCTGTTGCCATGATCAACTGTGGTTGCATATGGAGGTGGCTTGTAGCCTGCAGACGACCATACTCAGCATCTGGTGAAATATTGTTGTTCCCTGACAGGCCTTGCAAACTCCTTTGGAGGATCTGACTGAAGCGCACCACATCTAGATCCCTTCTAGGCGACAGCAACTGCTGGGAACGCGTGCGGGAGCTGTGGAACGCAATGACATCCCTATAAACTTCGTATACCGTCTTGGAATAATCCACCACTAATTCGTCCTCTCCGCAGTCATTCGCGAGGCCGAGGAGCCCATAGACTTTGTCTCGTGGATCGGCGCATTCGGAGGCCTGACAAGCCTCAAGAAGGTTGATCAAGCGACATTCGTAGTATCTATCGCTTCGTTGACGGTCGAAGAGGTAAGGCAGACTGCTCTTGATTCTGTCGTAGTGTTCATACCCCTGGAGCGCTCTGCTAAAGGCTGTCCATGTTGCCACGTTGGGGCCGCAACTAACCATAAGCTCTTTTGCAAGCACAATCTCCTGGACCACCCACAGCCTTGACCAATATCCTCTCTCGCACAACGCGAAGAACGCATTCAAGTTAGTTGTGTGGACTGGATTACTGATTTCGCAAGCGCCAGCCTGGATGTCTAGAGAAGCAGTGTTGCCGTCGACGATAAATTCGAAAGCAGCGTTGCTGTTTGCCGCCGGTAGTCCTAACCAGACGATGACCTTGCTGGCTTCTCTGTAGACCAGACCCATTTGCCGGACTTGATGGTTTCGCTCTATCTCGTTTGACTGATCTATGCACAAAGCATCAATCCAGAGAATGCGAGGTCGATCGGGATACCTCAAATGGTCTAGAGCCCACCATAGATTTATTCTCACGTCGAATGGCTTGCCCCCTAAGCGGATCTCTCTGACGCCGTCTTCCGGGGATCCCCAAGTGTAAGATAGTGCTTCATAGTTGGTAATGGAGAGGAGGTACAAGGGAACAAGACGGAGAGAGCATTCGATGTTGTATCTGTAACTGCCACGCTCAGACTGATACTTGGATTTCAGAACCAGAAGACGGATCTCTTTTGTGGGGTTGTGTAATGGACTGTACACGAACCCGGAGGCGTCAGATGGATTGTTTGTACAATCGTCAATTGTTAGCGCTTCATTGTCGGTCGCCCTCTGGGTTTTGCCAGGCCGCGAGAAGGTGAACATCGCAGCTCCTTCTTTGAATAAATAAAAGAGCTGTCAGGAGAAAGGGGGATTAATAGAGGTGATAACTGAGGAATTGAAAAATGATTTTTGTTGGAAAACAAATACGAAGCAGAACTATTCATAGATGGAGACGTTTCTAGTTTAAAAATATACAAATAACCGCTGACCTTCACAAGACCCGACTTATGTGACCGAGTGACCAATAACAGCAACGATGAAGCGCTCGCGAGCTGTGATGAACATTTATTCGAGCGCAGACGGTAAGACACTTGGCTGAACGGTGATCGGGGCAGGAGAGGAGGCTCCACCGAGCTATTGCTCAGTATGTTTGATTGCCTTGGTACAAATAAAGAATTCAAAGATATCTCAGTCCATCGCAATGGAGGTCAATTTATAATAAGGAGGCAACTGAGCTTCAAGATGTATTGAATGTTATTGATGACATTGATCAATTGGCAACAAGGAAGGTTGGGGGGGGGGGCTACTCATCCGGCCCGCCAGCTTTCCTTTACCTATGCTCCTCGATAAGCTTCCTCACAACCTCCCTCGCTTTCGTAGCATCAACCCTCCCATCCTGATCCGCTCGCATCATCTGCCCAACGAGGAAGTTGATTTTGCCTTCCTTTCCAGCAAGGATCTCTTCTACCACCTTCGTATTGCCATCCAGTATCTCCCTGGCTAAATCGTCGTATTCCGCGTCAGACAAAGGCCTGAACCACAGCCCTTCCCTCTCAATGATGCCCTGCGCCGTCTCCTCTTTGCCCGTCAACCCAGCTTCAAACAATTCCGAAAGAACCTTCTTCGCCGTCCTCCCAGTGATTTTTTTAAGAGAGAGGAACTGCACAAGTTGCGCCAGTTGTTTTGCTGGGATGACACTATCGCCTTTCGAAGTTATCTTAAGCGGATTCTCCTCATCCGCAAGATCATTTGCAAGACCTCCCATCTCATGCAACACCCAGTTCCCACACAGCTTCCCTACCTCCTCTGTCGGTTCCTCAGAACTGATAGCAAGGTATTCATCGACCACGTTACGGAAATACTCCACTCTCCCGCCCTCGTTGAGCGAGATGAGCGACATGGCGTCCTTGGTTGTGAGGCCGTACTCCTTGGTCAGGATAAGGATTTCTTCATCCGGCAGAACGCCGAGGGTGGACTGGAGGTGTTCGATGAGGTCGTCGCCGATGACGACGGGTGCGAGGTCGGGGTCGGGCATGTACCTGTAATCCACCTCCCCTTCTTTTCCTCGTAGTCTTTTCGTCTCCGTGCTGCCGATCGTCCAGCCTCGAGTCTCGCCTTCAATCACCCCACCGTTCTCGAGGACGGAAATCTGCCGGTCCCGCTCGGCGATGATGGCATCTTCGACGGCTTTGAAGCTGCTTAAATTCTTGATTTCGGTCCTTTGGCCGAGACCTGTCACTCCCCCGTATGAATTTGAAGATGTGGAGGGAGAGTCACGTCTTCGAACCGATACGTTGACATCTGCTCGTAAACCGCCGGATTGCATTCCAAGTACACAAGCATCCACCGCATTCAACAAGAGCTGTATCTTCCTGACCAACGCAGTAGCCGTACTCGGATGGTGTATCTGCGGGAGCGTGATGATTTCAATTAAGGGGAGCCCAACCCTGTTGAAATCCAGCAGGTGTATTTCCCCAGGCTGCGAGATTGTTTTTGCGGTATCCTGCTCCATCTGTATCTGCTTAATCCCAATCTTCACCTGCTCCCCATCTTCCGCCGCAATCCCATCATGTGAAAATAGCGTAATATGTCCATCCCTCGCAAACGGCTCATAGTACTGGGTGATCTGGTACCCGGCCGGTTGATCCCAGTGAAAGTAATGCTTACGATCGAAACGACTCGTTTTCTGGATCTCGCAGTTCAATGCTAGCGCAGCCCGGAGGGCAGGTATTAGGGTTTCCTTCTGGAATGTAGGTTGGGAGCCAGGCATTGCAACATCGAAGAGGGCGACGTGTGTGTTGGGGGCATCGTTGATGCTGGAGGAGGCGGCGGAGAAGAGCTTTCGTGCGGTGTTTAGCTGGGCGTGGATCTCGATGCCGACCGTCAGTTCCCAGCTGTCTAGCTTCTGGCTATCCTGCTTCGACTTCTTCCCCGTGCCCTCGGCCTTCCTCTTCTTTGCTTCATCTTTCAACTGCTTGCGGAACGGGATTGTGGTTTCGGGGCCGGCAGATTCTGTATTTGCACTGGGCACCTGTGTTCCGTGATATCTTTTTGTAGACAGCGAGTGTGCGGTTGGTCGGCAATGTCTCACTTGTCGGAGACATCCACCAGTGGGAAGGTGGCCCCCGAACAGGTATCTGCGAAGCACGGAGGGGGGGATTCGTGCCATGGGGATTGAGAGGCCCGGGAGCACAGGAGCAGCTCAATTGGATGTGACGCGTCGAGTGTGGCGAGCCCGGTGGGGAAGCTATATATGACGACAATCAGGACTGTGAAGATTGAGAGGTTGTCGAGGCTCGAGGGTGTATCGGGTGAATGCAGGCGGAGGTTGTTTGGGATGCCAGGTCCGATTCGAGGAGCACGAGGCAGGCGTGAGAGGATTGGGAGGAGGATTGGGCTGCGAAGGCTGCGAAGGCTGCGAGGGCTGCAATATCGCGTCTTGAGCCTGTTTGTCAGACTGTGCAGCGTGCTGCGGTGGTGTGCCCAAGTGGTTTGGAGGATGCGATGAGTGGCAGCAGTGCATGTGTCCAGCAAGTATTGGTCGTGGTCGCCTCCGGGGGCGAGGCGAGCAGCAAGCGATCTACCAAGTAGAAAAGGAGCACGTCGCCCGCTGCATGCTGCTTCCTCTGGCTCTGGCTTTGAGTCTGACTGACTCTGGGCGTACGAGTCGTAGGGGACGCTGCAGACCCGTCGAGTGTTTTTCTCTCTGTCTGTTTTTCAGCAAAGTGTGGTCTGGTCTTGTCTGGTCTGGTCTGTCTGGTCCGAGAGTGAGTGCTGGTTTGCAGTCATCACTGTTTTTTTTTCCCGCTCACCACAAATAAAGTTCACGCTTCACTCTCCACTCTTCACGCTTCACTCTCTCCACTCTTCACTGCCCTCGGCAGCCAGCGCCAGCCAGCAGCCAGCGTCCTCGGGATTTGCCTAAACTCGCCAATCAGGTGCCAGCCTCGTGCCATTTGAGCCCTATCCCGCCATCCCTGTCTGCCCTGTGGGAAAACTCCCCAATTCGCTGGCTCGTGCGCTGGGCGAAGGCGAAACACCACTGGAACCAACGACACGCCCGGCACGGCTGAGACGGGGATCATACCTAAAGATATACATCTATATCTGCCCATATACGCGGAACTGTGCCTCCCGAATTCCCTCAATGATGGTCACCACAGCCTTTACCACCTCACTAGTCACTCCATCTCTCTTCAGCCCTCAACAATGCTCTTCAAGCACAGCTAGCCAGCTCCACGACCCGCCAACACACCGCCAGAAGCCCCAAAGCTATCCAGGTACGGGGCGTCTTTGCGCTGTTATACCCTTTGCTTTTTGTGCTGTGGAGTGGGCACCTGAGCTGACCACCAACAGCATTTACCCGACATGACCACGAAGTACAGTGTACCATCAGTTGAATCAATCGTCGAAGATTCTGAGGATGAATCGGAGGGGGAGATAAAAGTCAGTGACAACAATTCCTGCGACCAGGAGCATCCTCGATCTCACGACGCATCCATGAAGGCTCACAGCGGGAGGGAGAGGGAGAGGAGGGCACACAGGGCAACAGCGAACACTGGGAGGCATATTGCGAAGCCTAGGTCGAAGACTACTTTAGCGCAGAGACCAAGTACGATTGCTACCGGGGTCAATGGCTCGGATGTGACAAGACGAAGGCACAAACGAAGTCACTCCAACAAGAGTGATAGCTCCAACGAGGCCACATCGTCGGACGAGGAGGAGCCTGCACAAGATCACAGGGCTGTGTTGGCCGCAGCCAGGGCCCGATTGAGCTCACCGTCGACCATTTCAGCTTTTACTACCCTCACAACTGCGACCAACAACTCCGGTGGGTCAAGTGGGAGTAATTCAACAGTAACACAAGACTCGATCACAAAGCGGACAGGAAAGAAGCCGGAGGAGCCGGAAGCACCGTTGTCACCTGCTGTACCGGATCCACCAGATGTGTTTGCGTTCCTCGATAGGGATGACTCAGCGGAATCTGAGGACGGAGAGGGAGAGGATCATGAGGAAGGAGAGGGAGAAGATCATGACGAAGAAGATGAACGAGACGAAGAAGCCGAGGAGGATGACGATGATCCGGGTGAAGGCCCATCCACTTGGGCTCCTCATCAGCCCGAAATGATCATGACAACGATTGGGTCCTCGCAGAACAGCAGCGCCTCCTCTACTTCCAGCAGCTTCCACGGGGATGATACTTTCTCTCAACCAGCAGACCATGACACCGATCGAAGTGACAGCCCGGAGCGGGATGTTGATGGGAAGGAAGAACCAGCTCAAGCTCCTCCACCAACTGATCGAGTTTCCGCCAAAGTCGCGGCACAAATGGCTGCGGCTCAGCAGAGACAGAGCATGTACGCCATGCAGCAATTCGGAACTCCGAATATGCCACGCGGAAATTACCAACTTCCTGTTGTTTCACCAAGTGTGTTGAGTTCACGATACCAGCAACAGATCAAGCCTCATGCTCTCCCACGAGCAGAGAAGATCCCTGTGACAGGGTATGAACTTCTTGCATCCCGATTATCGTATTCCAGAGACGCCGAGGAAAGAGGTGAGCGTATCAGGCCCATGTACAGAAAATTCGAAGCTCTGAACCACCGTCTTTTATTACATCTTCAAGATGAAATCAGCGAGCTTGAAGAACAACTCCACCGCCTCGACAATGCAGACACGCAGTCCCGACGAGCAGACCGGTATATTGTTCCCGCCTCACGTCGGGCAGCCGCACAAGCAGGAGGTGAACTGCAATGGCATAAAATGGATATTCTAGGTAAAATCGGTTACAAGCTTGGACAATACAGTGCGGCCCTCTCCGTCTTCTCAGGCGAACGTCATTTTAACAAAAGAAACAGATCAAGCCCTCTCCTCCTTCAACTCGACACAGGCCCTTGCTCCCCCAGACCCAGAGGACATCGACCTCTACCGCTCATACCTAGAAACCGAACGCCCCATCGCGGAACATGAAACACATTTCCTAGACCCAGCAGACGACCTCGTCTCCGTCTGCTCCGACACACTGCCCCGCCCTCCCTTCCAAATGTCATCTGCATCATATGATGTTTCTTCCTCCGTGATCTCCGGCTCAGACAACGAGGTGTCACATTCCCCGCATTCCCTCTCGTCATCCCGCCTGTTATCACAAGCCGAAAATAGACATGATGGGATGGAGAAGTCTTCGCTGCCGGCACTCGCCGCAGCAATCGCGGCCATGATTCTCATCCCGATCCTAACATTCAACGTGATACCGAACTTCATCGGGAGGGTTACGGTAACGTTTCTTGTTGCGCTGGGGGCCATGTTCGGACTGGTACAGAGCGGAACGCTTGGGTACGATGCATTAGTGGGGAGCGAGGGGATTTTGTGCACTGGGGTTTATGGGGGGATTATGATCTGCTTAGCTGGTATTATGAGTTAAACCCCGATGCTCTTTTGATGATTTACGCTGTGTGATGATGAAATTTGGACGGATTGAAATTGTCCAGGAGTCTGGAACCGGATTGCGATGGATTGGATTTTGATCGATTTGAGGAGGCTGGGTTTTATGATACCCCTTTGCACACCTACTTCTTTTCTTGGATGGAAGATACATAAGATTAGCAAGATGTCAAGGCCTTGAAATCGGGGTGGAAAGTGGAAACCAGACTGTATCATATATATCATATTTTCCTTGTCCGTCCTGGACTAGCAAAAATCAAAACTTATTTATAATTTCGATCGAAGTTCAAGACCACTTATGTTATCCACAGTAATATGATCTTCTCGTTTTCTGATCCCAAGAATTATACCCCTTTATAACGTTAAGGCGGACTAAGCGAGCGAGGCCGGAATACGAAAGCGCGCGGCGTTGAAAATCGTCCTCTGCCAAAATGCGAGGAACACCAAAATCGCTACATTTAGAAAATCACACCAAATCTCAATAGAACGCCCGACACTCCTCAAAAGTGCTTTACATTATAAAAAGGAAGCAGATCTAAGTTTGGCGAAAGTTTTATAATAATATAATATAAGGCGGAATTATAAGTATTTTTGTAATGCAGCATTGAAATCGTGCCCGTCCTCGCTTAGCGAGTTGGACGGATTTCAATGCCGCGCGCTTTCGTAGGGTAAGTGAATGTGCAGCAAAGTTTTGCACAACAAGAGGCTAATAACCTGTTTTATAAAGTCTGCACTAGCATACGGTACGCAAATATACTAGATTGTTTAAGAATGATGTGTAGTGCCAAGTGGCTTGGACAATATTCTGTCTTCATCAAGATTTCGGCTGACATTCTCTCCCTCGCCAAGATGCTCACAAGATACAGCAATTTGCCCACCGGCCGAGACCGCAGGTCACTAGCGAACCACAAGCAGATCATGGATCTGATAAGATAATAAAAGACTAGTCTTTTATTTATTTTTATCAGATGCCCCACTTCTGCACGAGAGTGGAGATGAATAGTTATCTGATCCGCTCTTACCGAAGGCAGCAGGAACCCACTACGGCTGCGAGCCTCTCTAATTTCTTCTGGCAACCCCATTCAAGACGTAATGCCAACGCCCAACACTCACCCTGTTCCTCCCCTAACCATGCCCTCCGGCGGATCCGATGACTTCCTCAGGTTCTGCCGCAGGGTTGCAGGGCGGTGCAAGTGCACTTGGCAAAAGTGCTACAATATTGCAAGTCCAGTGCTTCGCGATATCGGTGTTTGGGACACACGCCCCGATTCTCAATCATGCTGTCATGCTGTCTGATCAAATTGCTTGCCGTGCCGAGAGTTCGGTGCCTGTACCTCCCCTCAACCTGTGAATAAAACTCCAGCGTGCCCCAGACTTCCTCTCCGAAATGTTGACCTCTATCCGTCGACGGCTACCTGCGCAGTTCAAAGACGCCCACAGAGCTTCATCTCCCTTCTCTTTCTCAAGGTTCTATTCCACTATCCCTTTCCTCAACTCTAGATATCCGTTCATTATGGGAGGTGGAGAGCATCCTCCTACTAAAGTGCTGGTGATTGGCGGCTCATACGCTGGCCTTGCAGCAACAACCACACTTCTCGATCTCTGCCGTGGCAAAATGTCAACTGGCTCTATCTCACCGGAGGGCCTCGACACCAAATCAAGATTCCCTATTAACATCACCCTCGTCGATGAACGAGACGGATTTTGTACGTACATGTCCGCTATTTCCAGTCCCCAGTGACTTTGAGCCCAGCAGCTAACCGAAAGCACAATAGACCACCTCATAGGCTCACCTCTCCCCCTTGCTTCAGAATCGTACTCCAAGAAAGCGTGGATGAAGTTCTGCTCCCTCCCGGCATTACAGGTCCCCAATCTCAAGATCATTCAAGGTTCAATCACAGCAGTCGATTGCGGGAGAAAGGTTGCAACGATCAAAACGAGCAGTGGTGGAAGGGAGGAGGGATACGATTATCTCATCGCAGCGTCCGGATTGAGACGTGTGTTTCCTGTTGTGCCGCAATCCCTTAGTGAAAAGGCCTACCTGCAAGAAGTGAAGGAGCAGGTAGAAAACATCAAAAGTTCGAAGGAAACGATCGTGGTAATAGGTGGCGGTAGGTAAATCCCTAAGAGACTTGTTTTCTACAAGCCGATAATGATGTGTATCCATAGGTGCCGTCGGGATAGAGATGGCTGCTGAGCTGAAACTGGTCCATCCGAGTAAGAGTGTGATGTTGATTCACAGTCACGAGAAACTTCTCTCCGCCGAACCTTTACCAGAAGACTTGAAAGACAAGACACTCGAATTGTTAGAAGAAGGAGGCGTTGGGGTGTTGCTAGGACAGCGCGTTACTTCCGCCAAGGAAATCAAGTCGGTCGATGGGGGCAAGGTGTATAAAGTCGCGTTAGGAGATGGAACGGAGTTATCAGCAAGCCATGTCATCTGGGCTATCTCAAAAGCCGTGCCCACAACCACTTACCTCCCTCCCACCGCACTAGATTCCAACCAACTCGTCAAAATCGATGCAAAGACGAACTTCACTGGCGGTATTCCAAATTCTGCCCACCATTTCGCAGTAGGAGATCTCGTCTCCTGGTCCGGAATCAAGCGCTGCGGTGCCGCCATGGCGATGGGTCACAATGCAGCCTTCAATATCCGTCAGCAGCTTCTCGAAGCGCGGACAGTAAAGAAAGCAGAGTTCATTGAGTTTCCAGAGATTCCGCCTATGATTGCGCTCGCTGTTGGCAGGAAGGCTATAAGTTATAGTCCGAACGCCGGAACGGAGGAGGGTGCTGAGGTTATGAGGAATTTCTTTGGGGACGATTTAGGGTTGAAGAGTAAGTGGAGTTGAAAGATATGTTGACGATCAGGCTAATATCATTTAGTATGTTATGATCATTTGAGGTTGGGTGTTGAGTCTTCGTATAGTTTAGCAGGAAAATGAGATTGGATTTTGATCTGATAGGGTGTGGCGAGTAAGTAAAAGTAGAGTCCACAATGTGTCAGTATTACCCAAGTTATGCAGAATCAATGTCCAGTATCTGCTTGATTGTTATACTCTACTACTTGCAGTCAATCTGATTTGGGTCCGGTTTCCCCCTATTCTATCATCACGTGACCCCATACTCGTTCCCATGTCTTCTTGATATATTCATGTCATGAACAGAAGCATTTCGCAAGCTAATATAGTCCGCGCTCCATGCTGCTACACTAATGTTGAATTCATAGGAGCAGAACTTCCAAACCCCAGTTTACGAGTTCCCGGGTTGAGGCCAGCCTTTTCCGGGGCCTTATCCGAGACTTGGCCGCACTTGCGCATTGCGGCAGTTTCTCTGCCCTCCTTGATCACTGGAAATTAAAAGCATGAAATTACGATCGACCTCAGACAGCCGAGAGTATGTATTGAATCCCCATGCCTTGCAATAAAGTCCAATCGTCATTTGACTCGAGCGGCTCGAGTCAGTTCCAGGACGACAAGCGAGTCGCCAAGCCACGGACCTCCATCGGACTGTGGGGGGATTTACTGATCCCTGCATCCGCATCACCAACGCCAATGAGGGGAAGGAAGCTATCGAGGAGCTACAAGACGTAGCACAGCGTATGCTCTCGCTGAATTAGTCTTGGTTCCTGGCACTAATCCTAGTAATAACTGCCGTCTCGGTTATCCGACGCTGCGGCTGTGGCCTTCATCCTCCTCACCTTCTATAACTTTGCTCAATCCCCTTCAAAATCCTCCCCATTTGCAAGAACTATTTCCACCTTCACAACACTTCGTCTCCCCAAAATGAGCATAATAGTTCCCCTACAAATCAACGGCAAGGAGGTCCACACCTCCAAGCTCATTGACGTCACGAGCCCCTCCACCGGCAAGGTAATCCACAAAGCTTCCGGGGCATCTGTTTCCGACGCCCTCAAAGCTGTCGAAGCAGCAGAGTCCGCCTTCGAATCATGGGCCGACCTTCCTCCTGACCAAAAACGCAACATCTTCCTCAGAGCAGCCGATATCCTCGAGCGTCGCACTGAGGAGGTTGGCAAATGGGAGGAAGAGGAAGCAGGAGCTACCCCTCTCTATGCTTCTGGATTTGACGTCCCGACTGCTGTAAGCGGATTGAGGGATGTTGCGGGCAAGATCTCGGGGATTGTGGGGACGGTTCCGGCGTTGAGTGACCCGAGTAGGACGGGGTTGATCATGAAGGTGCCGTACGGTGTGGTTTTGGCGATTGCTCCTTGGTAGCATCTTCATTTCACATCCCATTTCACCTCAACTAACGAGTTCCAGGAACGCAACATTCATCCTCGGCTTTCGCTCCGTGACCTACGCCATCGCAGCCGGAAACACTGTTGTCTTCAAAGTCTCCGAGCTGGCCCCCCGCTCAATGGGCGTGATCGGCACCGTGTTCCGAGAAGCAGGCCTTCCAGACGGAGTCTTGAACGTGATCCAACATCACCCTGAGGATGCGGCCGAGATCACGAAGAAGATGATTGAGCACCCGGCTATCAAGAAGATCAACTTCACTGGCTCGACCGCCGTCGGTAGAATTATCGCTAAACTCGCTGGTGAGAACCTCAAACCTGTGCTGATGGAACTTGGTGGAAAAGCACCAGCGATTGTGCTGGATGATGCGGATCTTGCTCTTGCGGCGCAGGGCTGTGCACTAGGAGCGTTCATGCATAGTGGGCAGATTTGCATGTCTACTGATCGGATCATCGTTCAGAAAAGTATTAGTGGGAAGTTCGTGGAGCAGTTAAAGGGCGCTATTGAGGCCATCTTTCCTTCGAGTGGTGAGGCATTGGTGATGGTTAGTCCGGCAGGAGTCAAGAAGAACAAAGCTCTTCTCAAAGACGCAACGAGCAAAGGTGCCGAGGTTATCTTCGGGGACATCAATGCCGAGGAAGCGGCGCCGGAGAGGATGCGTCCTGTCGTCGTTAGAGGTGTAAAGAATGGCATGGATATGTACTACACGGAAGGATTTGGTCCTACGGTATCGTTGATTGAAGTCGAGGATGAGAAGGAAGCGATCAGGATTGCGAATGATACCGAGTATGGGCTGGCGTCGGCGGTTTTCACCAATGATTTGGCAAGGGGATTACGGATTGCGAGGAAGATTGAGACTGGTGCAGTGCATATTAACGCTATGTCAGTTCATGACGAGCCGAGCCTGCCGCACGGGGGCGTTAAGGCGAGCGGTTGGGGACGGTTTGGGACCAGTGGGATTGAGGAGTGGGTAAATACGAAGACAATCACGTTCCAGAATGGTTTGATGGCTGGCAAGTGATTAAGGCACTGGAAGGCCCCAATTTGTTAAATATCAAATAACTTAGCTATGGAATCAAACCGTCACCAGATCTCGCACGCGGGAATAATGCTGCCAGGCGGGCTTGAATAGAGTATTTATTGTTTACTAAAGATTGATAAACTACTTCCAGAATCTTTAAAGCTGAGACCAGAGAGCATAAATAAATGTAAACGATACCAGGAGGCAATATTCCGGTATTTTACATCTATACGTCGTCGAATGGAACTTCGAGCCTTTACTTATGTTTTCCAAACAACTCAACGGTTTTCAGTAACTTCGTGCTTTATTTAGAGAATGAGATATCTAAACACTACGAATGCTTTTCAATAAAATCGGTGGGCGTCATTTAACAAAACGGGTTCGAGGCGGACGGTCATGCTTTGGATTAGCGAGGGACATGATTTTGATTGGCTGTTGAGGCTCTCGCGCTCCATCATCATAAAATCGAAACGAGCATGTGGTGGCGTTTCGTCGCCTCTGAATGCGCGTCCAGCTTTTATGGTCAGGAGAAGCTCTCCGAACAAGAGATGGGACGAAAAACAATGGTCAAGGTAGAAAAGGGCTCCGCTAACGAATAAGCGAGCGTCCACATTCCGTCCACCATAATTGCTGACATTTCACCGTTGGGAAACACCACCCAATGCAAGCTTGTGGAGCCGCAGAACTCTCAAATTCTCTGCTCCTTGATGGAAAGTGGCTTTACAGTCAATCTTAGCCTCACCCAAAAACCATTTGCCCTTGTCGAGATCTCCAGAAACGCGTAGTTGGCCCATTGTGGAGCTGTCCACTCATTTCCGTCAAGCTCTGAAGGACTGAGTGTGGTCCAAATATTTTGCTCGACAACTTCTTAATTAGTGAACTCTGTGTCCATACTCCGACCGTGAGCCGCAAAGAATGATTAAAAGTCCAGAGTTGGTAATATTCTTATTTATATTCTTGTATCAGTGGCATTGTCACTTTCAGTGAAGCGGCAGGGTTGGAAGCACTCGACATGGCCAGGAGAAGGTCTGGTGCGAAGGTGATGCAACTGTAAGAACAAACTTACTTTGATAAGAGCAAATTAAAGCAAGGTACTCAGTAGATGTAAATGATTTAGTATGAATAGAAGTGACTGAAACTAACAGGTTCCATTTCATACTGGCCTAAGAACTAGGCAGCAAAATGAAAAGGGTGTGATTCCAACCAGCGGCATACTTTTCAGCAGTGACTATAAAACAACTTAAAGTGAATAACTTTCTTCGGTGTTTGAACTTGGTATTTCTTTTCAAATTGTTATCAACCCTTTTACACACCAAAGGTGAACCCCATCCTCTGGAGCACATCTATCTCTGCCAACAGGAGTGCACACCCAAATAGTTGAAAATACGCCTTATAGACACTCACAAACAGACGTGATGGGAGATCAACAACAGCGAGGTGAGGGTAGTAAGAGCGCTCATGCTTTCAGGTATGATGAACACTGGGAATTGCCTTCTACACAGAGGCGCGCACGTTCGAGTGCTAATATAGACAGTTTATTAAATGGCATGTCTTCCCAACAGCCACAAGTGCTACGCAAACATTGGCCAAACAGCAAATACGTCAGCGCAGAACAATTCCCTCGCATGATACAGGGTTTGCACCCGGCGGCTCATCGCGTTTGGCAAAGACACCTACCTCCGATATTGAAGGCTCTGGACGACGTGGACAAGGCGTTTACCGACCCTGCAACAACGAACCAAAATACGGATTGCAGTTACATTGCGACCGCAAGAAGTTCGAACGGTAAAGGCTCTAGTACTGGGACTGCGGCTGTTGAGACTCCTGCGTATGAGGGCCAGGCACTTGATCCACAAGGATTTCGAAATACTCGCTATAGAGGTATCCTTCAACGCCAGCTTCCAAATGCTCCAGGATCTCCTTCATATTCAAATCCAGATCACCCAGGTCATCCAGGCTATCCAACAAACCCGAGTAATCCAAGTCATCCAGGTGATCGGGGCCATACGGATCGACGAAGGTGAATGAGGAAATCGGAAACGGCTGCACTTTCAAGCGATGTTGATAGACTTATTCATCAAGCTTAGGGTTTTTGATGCAAGTTGAAGTTCCGAGAGAATTAAGGATGATGCTGTTTTGTGAAATGGGTCGAGGGGATTCTGCACAGGTTTGACTAGCCGCGCTTGCTTCTAAATGAGGCATGAATAGACACTATGCAGCAAATCCAATGCGCTCGCGTTGTTTAACCTCAGTGAACATACGGTCGTGATCTATCAAGGAGCAGCATGACTAATGTGAGATCTCTGGTAGAAAGAGTGATTCCGAAACCAAAGTTACCTCTGGCTGAATCTAGCAGCTGTCGGAAGTCGTTGAAAGCATGAAATATGGAGATAACAGTTATGTGCAGATCACCTTGGGCCCACCCAGTGTTCCCGAGCTGCGTCAGTAACCTGAGAAGTAGCCAATTGATGATGTATCACCGAAGGATTGCTGGGGGGGCCTGGACTCGATAGTATACTAATTCTAGTTAGTTAGGGCCCAGGAGAATTCTCAGTGAGGAGTCTCTTCTATTACCGAAACAAAACGTTTTAAAAAAGGAACAACGACAATTATGCTCTTCCATCTCTCAAATTTTCTCTGAGTGTGTTCCTAAATTCCATACGAGTTTGCTGCCATTACTCTCGGAGACATCACGAACTACACTGTACTGTGAAAAGTGTGGGGAAAGGGGTAGCCTTAATTAGCCGAATGGATGTCCATCCAAAATACAAGATGGAACGGAGTCGTCGTAATCAATTGTTGGCCTTTATATAAGAAACTTCTTTAGTGATGCGTGACTTGAAGAGCTGATCCCAGGGGTGGAGCAAATTTCTTGCAGTTGCGCAGTCTTTCAACGAGGAAAGATGATATTCACGAAGGGAACGGCCGCAGTGTTGGTCTCCCTCGCTTCTTTTCCTATCGTTCTTGCGCAGACGACAAGGGCACTCAACTTATTTGCTCGGGGTGTCGAACGTATCGAGTAGGTAGGTGAAATCAAAGATGTCCTGCGCAGCTTCTCCCAACTGGCTCAATTCGGCCAGTGGAGCGATATGGTACCACTTTTCTCCTATAATAGCACTTTGCGATCGGGAAACGAAACATGTTACAGGCCAGCGCAGTGAAAATGGACGGTATCCTACCCGGCTCACTCAAAGCTATTGCCATGCAGTACCCAGTAGTAACCCTTTCCGTCGACGGCCTCACCGCTGAAGCCCTCTAAAACGGCTTGTACTGTGCTTCCAGGGCGACAGAATATGCGGGACAAGAATACAAGGTGGTGTCTACGAAAACGAATACACCTTTAAGGGCGGGACCTGGAAGTTCTCCCCATTACACTATTGCCCGCTCTACACAGGCCCTTATATCGGCGGCTGGCGCAACGTAGGCGGCAACCTCCCTATTGTCCCAGTCCACCTAATGGTCTGGAAGCTATAGCACGTAGGCTTGAGATTTGGATGATTGGGGACGCAAATACGCTCACTACGAGCTGGGAGTTTAGTGTTTTTTAAAACAAGTCTGTGAAGGGCAGGGATGCTATTTTGAAATTCAAGAGTTGAACATGACGCCGTTGATTGTGGCAAACTACTCGACAGGGTGTGGAAATACCTCGATTTTGCCACTGCCTACTAAGGTGCCGAACTTCCTTGATGTCTTGGGAGGAGCTCGAGGTTCTTGGATGGGGCTCCTGGTACGATTGCGATTGCGAGTGTGGCGGATTTGCAAGTGAAGTTGGGGAAGAGCGTGGCGTACATGGGGTCGAGAATGTGCGCCTGCGTATGGGTATTTTGCCGATGACTTGCAGTCCACCCAACTCGGCGCCATCCACGCGGCGAGCAGCCACAACGAGGTCCCCTTCACAGGTTTCTACCACACCAGTGGCCGCATTGCTGGAGCATGCTACGCCGAGTATAGGGTCCAAACATGAGCACCCTCCCCTCTAACGTCTGCTTCCACTTGCAAGGAAGAATTTGAGGTTGTAAGTTGCATGATTGAAAGACGGGAGCCAATCGCTTCTGTCAATCCTGCGTGGTGGGCGCAGAAAACTGGGCGCTTTCGCCCTGCCGCAGCTTCTTGGCTAATCGATCCAGCCATCTGGAGGCAGCAACTTGGTTGGGAAACGTTCCCCTCATGACATCTAAACTCGGAAAGACACTAACAGTATCTTAGAGTCAATATGGCTGCACCGAGACAAACAATTTGGTGGCGACCCTCGGAAGAAATTAGGACCCTCGAATTCGATGCTCATACCAAATGCAGTTTCGTGGAACTTCTGCTTGGTCCTGGGCTGCCACGTGTGGTTAAGGCTGAAGGATCTCTAGATGATGATTCTCTGGGACAATGGTTTGAAAAGGTGTTGCAAGCACTTTAAAACTCCTGGGGCCTATGAGGTACTCGGTCACTTATTCTTTATTTAGGACCAGCCGGTGCATGCGGCAGGGATGGGAGAAGGAAAGCATTTCGAGATAGCTGGCAGCAGATTGCGAATACTGTAAGTTAATCTGAACCCTTTGGCCTACTTAGAACTCTCAATACAAGAAAATAAGGTCCGCAACGTGCGGGATCAACAGCAAGACACACAAGCCCGAGGTATCACTCAGCAAGAAGGCTTTTGCAGTCATTCAAGATCGCCTCAGATTGCCCGACTATTTCTTAACAAACATCCCTCGGGATCATCTTGCTTTCGCTACTCCTTTCTCGAGTAATACGGGTAAAGTACAGCTCCATGGTAATAATACTGTTCCACCTTGGTTGACGGCTTCCCCTAACATCCCATAGGTTTAATTTTCAAGCTCGCCTTCTATCGCCCAAAATTCTACCAAGTGTCAATCTCATACTATCCAGAATTGAATCTCACGTACGGTCTCGTTCTAGCTCGAAATCCGTGCGATGTTACGGTGCCACTGCTGAGTCTCCTCGAAACTTATGAAAGCAAGCCAGATCTCGCTGTTCATCCGCTCCTTCTCCCCATAGCCGCAATTGGTCGTGAAATTGATCGAACCCGTCGCCGTATTCACCGGTGGGATAAAGACGTCGATGAGTTAGAAGAAGTGATGGGCCAGCATGAGTACGAAGGAAGACCACTAGGAAACCCTTTGGAGATGGACTTCACAAGTAAAACAAGGAAGTTGAACTATCTTAGCAAAAGAGTAGGTGTGGATATACTCCACCTGGGATACGTAAAGTTTTCACTAGAAAACGTCGAATCGTGGAGCAAGAGCTCGATATGTGGAGGGAAAGAATCCGACGGGGTTAGCGAGCCAATTTGCCACGCGATGAAAGAAAGGACAACAATGATGAAAGAGGATTGCCGTTCACTCCTCCTATTCGCCGAATATGAAGAGAAGCGGATGAAGATTTTGATCCAAGCTGTCTGTTTTCCCATCTCCTCAAAAGAAATCTCTATCTAACGTTAGGCTAATGGAATTCAACAGGTCTACCAGTTCATGGCCCAGAAAGATGCAAGAGTAAACATCGAGCTAGCTTTAAACTCTGCAGCGATTGCAAAAGCAAGCAAGGAGGATAGTGCGATCATGCGACAGATTGCCATTGAAACCAAGAGAGATAGTTCTGCTATGAAAACCATTGCTCTGCTGGGCATGCTCTTTTTGCCAGGTACTTTTGTTGCTGTATGTAAATATTTCGGTTCAAGTATTCTGAATGACGTATTATAAGCAATATTTGCGATGCCTGTCCTCGACTGGGAAGCAGAGGGCAGGCCCGTTGTCAAGAAAGGATTCAAGTATTATTGCGCTGTCACTGCGCCGTTGACGCTCTTGGTGCTAGCCTCTTGGGGCGTAGCAATGCTATTCCCGTGGAAAAAATGGATATCGAGGTTGAATGAAAGTCTCCCGATGAGAGGACCGTAAGGATGTGGCATAGAGCTGACAGGCCTGAATCTTACTAAGGTGATACTACTCTGAATTTCAACGCTTTGATTAAGACGAGAGACGGCGCTAATCACCAATCACAGATACTAATAAACCATTTCCGACTCTCAAACACTTGTTCAAATAATTCGGCCACTTGGGAGACACTACATCTGGCAATCCGGCACTATCAGAGTCATACTGCTAATATGAATAATCAAGTGGTGAAATTGCACATCCACACGGCATGCTGGGAACACTTCCCCGGTATTGGGTTTAAACAAAATGGTCACGATGCCAGAGTTCAATGAAATTTGTTCCGAAGCTGGAAATGCTTCCCCAATGCTAGATATATCGACTAAAGTGTTACGGTGCCAAACAGTAAATGTAGGATTTGCCCATATCTTCACCACCCTCCAACTGCCCCAACTTCTTCCCAAATATCATCACCATGGCCATCTCAGAATGAATATCGCATTCTGAAATTGAACTTGCTACACTCTCACATCCCACTTATGATCATCATTCCACAGATATCGTACCTCAAGGGCCAAGGCGAACAAAACCCTCAAGCCATTGGCAATAGCTGGCTTTCAAGAGCAACCACAACTAGGAGCAAGCTTCAGTTAACTGCTACTCTATCAGTGTGTCAAAAAAATAATTAAGGTAATTAATTATATTTAATTAAATTAATTTTCTAATTAATTATAATTTGATTATTGAGTTTCAAAAAAAATTAATTATTAGACTAATTATAATTAAATATAATTAATTATTTCTAATTATCACGTGAAAGTCACATGAAAGTCAAGTAAATAATAAAATCTCTTTATTTTCTCTAAATAACTATAAGGCCATCGGATAAAATATTAACTAGACTAATAAAATATATATAATACTATAAAACTAAGCTTTTTCGGGAAGGAAAAACTGATTCTCCGGCTCGAAATCCTTTTTCTCCTTTAATTCCTGTTCTTTTTCCGCCTTTTTTATCTCTTCTTCCTCGTTTATAAATATCCCCCAGCTCTTAAGACATATAATCTTCTCGAAAGTGATCTTATTAAGTCGATTACGTAGTTTAGTATTAATAAGAGCCCCTTGTGAGAAGAAACGCTCGCTAGCGGCGGACGAAGCGGGTATTCCTAAGTACTTCCTTGCTATAAGGGATAATACAGGAAACCTAATTTGATTAGCTTTCCAGTAATCAAGTGGCCGAATCTAGAGCTAAATTAGTATATATAGATAAAAAAATTATAATAAAGGGATTAGTAGTTCTTAAGGGAATTTGAAATAAAGTAAGTAAATATTACTTACTTTTTTATCTACTCTCTTCTCCTCTAAATAAGTCATTAATTCGTCTTCTATTTTATCCTCTTAATTATTTATATAAATATCAAGTTCACCTTCATCTAAATCGTCTATAGATATATCGGAATTAGTGTCTTGAGAATTAGCTATTAAATAGTCTCGTTTATACCTATAAGAGAATTAGTAATTAAATAATTTAAAATTTAAGTAGGAATATATACTTATATATTATAGTCTGTTTTAAGCCTATTATATATATCAGATATCATACCAGAATCTAGGCCAATTCCAGCTAGTTCTATTCTTTTAATTCGAGGATTAAGAATAAGAGCTAAATATAAAGCTTTACTCTTATTATCTAAAATACCGATTTTAGGATAATATTTGCAAAGCTTAGCTATACCCTTATTAATAGCGTTTTCGAAAGTTTTATCCTATTTATAATTAGTATACTATTAATATAATATAGTTCAGAAAAGACTTACTTTGAATTCGGTTTTAAAACTCTCGAGTTTATTATATATTTTATATACTTCAGGTATAATATAATATATAGTAGGATAGTTCTCGGCTTATAACTTAGTAATAGCCTTAACAAATATTGAAATTATATTTAAAATATTATTTAAATAAGTAATTTAAATATTAGTTAATACTAAACTTTTATTTTTAAAAGCCTTCGATTTCGAGCTATTAATAACTGCTTTAATAGCTTCATATATATAAAGAAAGTCTTTTAATATATAATAAGCCAACAACCACCGTGTTTTTTGATCTATAAGTAATTAGTATTAATTAATAATTAAAGGATTAATTAATTACTTACCAAGTTAAGGGAATCGAGCATTTTCTATATTAAAAGCTTTAATCTGAGCTTCTAATAGCCGTCGGTTTTCCTGATTATATTTAAGACCTATAATAGTCTTTCTAACCTTTCTCCAAATTAATAAATCTATAATTTATTAGTAAATCTCTTATAAATAATATGAGAAACTTACTTATTACTTGTTCTACTCCTTTTCTCTCTTCTCCTTCTTCAAGTTCATCTTTTTCTAGCTTATATAAATCCATAGAATAAGAGATATTATAATTATTCTTAATAAGAGCTTTTAAGATATCTTAAATTACTAGGTTTAATATATAAGCTATATAAGGAATATCTCCTTGAAATTTAATACCTTCCTTATTATAATACTTTATAAAAGCTTATAATAAGGTATTATTTGAGCTAATATTATCTCGAGTAATACTAAATAAAATATATTAGTAATTATTTTAAAAAACAAGAGTTATATTACTTACCTAGTAATATTATACTCAATACCATATGCTTTTAAAGCTTCTAGTAAAACCGAATTTATATATTTACCGCTATAAATATCCTTTAAATCTTTTATAGCTACTAAATAAGATTTTAATTTAAAATCTTCATTTATAAAATATCTAGAAATTAAATTAGTAAATATTATATTAATAAGTTAATAAGAATAACTTATATAGTAATTCCTAAATAAGCCTTTTGATTTATAGCTATCCAGGCGTCTAAAGTAATTAAGAAAGCACTGTTTAATAAGATGTTTTCTAATAATTCTTCTTTAATAAGGTTACTATTTTTATTAAACCTTAAAGTAAGTTCATCTATAAGAACTTGAGAATATAAAGGTAATACTTTACTATAAAGAAGTTAGTTTAATAATATATAAGATGATTTTTTAATAACTTACTAGTTCAGGTAATTAAGAAGCTTTCGAAAGCTTGGAGTAGTAACTATACGAAAAGAAATATTATTATTAACTATAAAGTCTAATAATAACCTCTTAAAGTGAGTTATAGTAAAGGATTCTAAGTCCGTATTACTAGAACCTTTATTAAAGGAACTTATAATAGACATTTGACTTAATTCGGCTATATTTTCTATAATAGTATCTAAAATAAAAAGTTAGTTTATTATTTCTTTAAGTTTTAATTATAATTTAAACTTACTTATAGGAGCTTTAGCCTTTAAAGCTTTATTAATATTAACCGATTTATGTACGTTAAGATAATGAGTTTTATAATTACTTATAGCGGCATTAACTCTTTACTTTTGAAATACTTTACTAATATTATATTAGCTTTAATTCCTTTAATTCTAATAGATATAACTTACTTGCAGTTCTTAAATAAGCACTTAATAGTAACTGTTCGATAGTTAATTGGATCCTCCGGGTTCTCTTTAGGAGGGTCAAGAGTTTTCGAATAATATCCGAGGGAAAATATAGGAGGTTATTGTTTAAGTGGTTCTAGTTCAAAATCCTCTCTGTTTTAAAGGATATTAAGCTTAATAGACGATATTTCCAGATAGGTATAGTAGTTTTGAGTAACTTTATAGTAGAAATCTTTTTAATAGGATAAGTAGTTAATGCAATATATAGTTTTGAAGTAAAGGAATCGCTAGAAAATCGAGGAGAATTAGTTATTTATATATAAAATGTCTAAAAATCTAGAAGATTCTTTAATAAGCGTCTAATTAGAAATACTCGCCTGATTTCAAACCACTGATTTCTAAGATCCCTTATTTATAATTACTTTATTTGTAATTATATTATTTATAAGGTAGCGAAGAATCACTGAAAAGTCGAGGTGGTTCTAGTGCCTTCCGGCTCGCTTACCAAGCGGGTGTAGCCGCTGCTAAGCCTATTACGGTAAGGTGGCATCCAAATTAGGCTAGAGCAAACCTTATTTTCACGCCATAACGCTTTTGCCATTTCCGCAGTCACGTGTAATACCACGTGACTAAATAATTAATTATATTTAATTAAATTAAGTAAATAATTAATTATAATTTAATTACTACGATTCTGACTTAATTTAATTTGATTACCGGCCAATAATTATAATTAATTAAATTATTTGACACACTGTACTCTATTCGCGCTCTTTGTAAGTAGACATCTTTTACCTCGAATTAACTTATATACAGTAGTGTCTTTACTGAATTATAATCCCACCGGGAACTCTCCTTCTTCCTCGCCGCGCTCGACTTTTCAATATCTACAACTGCAACCCCTACAACCGTCAACATACTGTACCCAGCGACACTTTACACATGGGTTGGATCCACGTGGCTATTATCTAGTGTTGCAGCCACTGCAGTATGGGCAAAACTCTCTAATATCTGGGTCGAATGATCAGCTTGTTGGCGCTGTCGTGACTTTTGTTGCTTGTTCAACAATATGTGCTCAGAGCATGGGGGCGCTGATTACAGGTCGCTCCACACAAGGCTTGGCTGCAGGTTGAATGATCATTCTTACCAATACCTGTATCAGCAATTTATTCTGTATGAGGCGAGACTTGTGACGATGTGGGTTTTTTGGTGTGTTAGTAAACGCATCCTAGAAATCGAGTCTTCTATCCCGGACTTGTGGGTGTGGTATGGAGTCTTGCAGGTGGTATCGGACCTCTTCTTGGAGGAACCTTGACACAATATGTCTCCTGGAGATGGAGCTGGTGAATTAACGTCCTCATCTCTGGGCTTTCATTTCTGACACTTTGTCTTTTGCCCGTATTTACAGTGCACAATCCTGGGACGAACCTCCTGCGAGGCGCACAAACCGTTGGCTGGCTCGGGAGTCCATTGTCCTAGGTATGGACCTGGTGTTGCTTCTCTTTTAGTTTGTTTCATGCATTGAATGGTAAATTGTAATCTGCTCTCTATTAGGACGAAATCTTATATTGAGCTGGCAAATGCGTCAGCCTGGTACTCTCTGCCATTGTTCTTCCAGTCAGTGAAAGGTTCTGCACCTCTTCATTCTGGACTTCGGCTCTTCCCAATCACTGTCCTATAATCGATTGTCGGTATTGCTTCTGGGGTCTTCATCCACCAACTGGGCGATATCTCGAGCTTATTTGGATCGGAATGACACTCACCTCTCTTGGAATTGGACTTTTCATTAAACTCGATGCCAATTCTTCTCTTGTCGAGATCGTTCTTATGGAGAGTGTTGCGGTGCTAGGGGTTGGATTAAGTTTTCAGCCTCTTATACTTTGACAATTGCATAAACAAGGGTGTTTGGCATGTAATTAGGCTTCAAAATATGAAGGTAAATTTAATATAGATTGTGATGTTTAAAGTACAAGAAGTGCGGTTCAGCGGAGGGTTTATATGCCTCTGCAGCTACGCTAACCTAAAGGGGAGAATTACGTGTATGGTTACCTGACATACTACTTGCTCTCTAGTCGTCAATAGAGCATGGCGACATGGCCGCCACTACAGCGTTGATGGAATTCGTTCGGAGTCTCTCCACAACAATCTCTGCAGTAATCGGCGGAGCTATTTTCCAAAGCGCGATCCAACCTTAGTATAAGCAAATGGTCTCCGTGGCCCTACCTCCCGAGTGGCTCTCGTTTACCCGAAGGTAATGGTGAAGGCTGTTTTGATTGCAACTGGTATGAGCCGAAGCGGAAGCTCGGACGCCAATTCTTTCTTTGAATGAATTGGATTGGATTGGGAAAAGGGAGAATCTTTTATGCTTCCATTTTTGTTCTTGGACTTGTGTTAAGCACATTTATTTCACGCCAAAATTGATCAACTGGTCATATTGAGACAAGAACGGGAGTTGAGGAGGAGGCAGCGGTTGGGATCAGTTAAGTGGATGTGAACTCACAAGGAGCTTGAATCTAAGGTCGAGATTCAAATACCACGTCCTACAAGTACAGTACAAAGGAACAAAGATTAGAGTGCAATAACCAAAAACGTTACCCTAAACTGTGGCTCCACAGGAATTTGGCAATTTCCAGGTCAAGTCAAAGTAAAAACGCTGTTATAAGGTGCAGCTTTTGTAGTTTGTCAAACCGTAACTTCGTTGCCCCAATGGGAGGTCCCAAATGGCGGACCTTCAACCGGCACCACC